GAAGGGAAGGGAAGGGAAGGGAAGGGAAGGGAAGGGAAGGGAAAAGGAAAGGAAAAAGGAAAGGAAAAAGGAACATGTTAAACTGGAAATGACAATTTTGCTTGGAGAAATGGATGGCTATAGAAAAAGAAGACAACTAAATATGAGATGGATTGACTTAAGTTTGCTAGAGCTGTTAACGAAAAGAACTTTGTGGAGATCTTTAACGGTCAAGATTTGCCACAATATTATCAGTGTAAACACATTTCTGTGACAGACATCATTATCAGAATTTAGAATTAATTCTAATTTAAACTTCTATTACGTTTTTGTGTTTATTTTTAATGTTATATTACTATATATATATAAAATTAAAATAATTTATATAGCTAAAAGGGGGTGGATGGTGGTAAAAGAGGTTTGGGGGCAGAATATGGCAGATTCTTGAAATCAAACATGGTTTGGAACACTTTGGGAACTGCTGTATTAATGTCTGAGTTATGCAAGGCATTGGGGGGTGGGGGTGACAGGATAAAGGAAGAGGGTATGGGATTTGCTGTTACTGTGGAAGTGTAGCCACATGGCAGCATTGTCTGTTTTACCACCTCACTTTGCAATTTTAATGTTATGACAGGATGGCGGTTTTTTGTTTTTTACGTTAGGGGTAGACATTTGGCAAGCATTCTTTAGCTTCTTGAAAGAAATTGCAATTTTTGCGGCTGGAGTTATACAGAAAACAGATGTACGTAAAGAAGGGAAGCCAGTTTTATGAGGGGAAATGGGGAAAAAAATAGGGAAAGGAATTTTGGCTCCTTTTCCCATAAACACAAAAATCATAGTAAATACCTTAAAAATGGCTTCCTCATATCTAACAGCTTTCTATTTCTAAAAAAAACAAGTCTTTCAAACCACTTGGGCATTTTTGCCCATAAGAACAATCACTGCTTTTAGCATTATGCATTCCCTTTTTGTGTTATTGAAATTCGTTTATGTGAGAACAGCTAGCTCTTAAATCAAGCATACGCATTTCAGTATAGATGCAGTGACCCCTCTGTGAAACTAGAACAGATGGTCAGGAGAGGCCTGTCTCTCAGTCCCACTACCTTCACAGGTGCATTTGGTGAGGACATGGGAGAGAGCCTTCTCCGTGGCTGCTCCATTAGACTATGGAACTCCCTCCCACAAGAGGCCAGGCCCCCTCTTGGCTGGCCTTCCTCAAGCAGACAAAGAACTTTCTCTTCAAGCAAACTTTCTCTTAATAACTAGCTGCCTGAGTGTGATCCTTAATTAGATAGTTGTGCCTTACTACTTTGAATATGTTTTAGGGTGTTGCTGT